ACCGTGCAGGACACCAACCGGACCATAAGGTGGACTTCTCACGCTGAGGAGCCGCCCAGCAACAAACGCCCGACTACCCGAGCGCAGAGTTGCTTTTGCTCCCACATCAGCACCGTACTGCTTAGCGAACATGGAGCCAACCAGCTCAAAGAGGCCGGCCCTCAGCGCGCGCACTAAAGGGTTGTTAGACTGTCTCCAATATCCTACCCCAAACTCAAAATGCGTCGTATACAGTGTTTGGACGCGGTCCAACGGAGCACCCAAACCGATGACCCATTTTGCATCCCATCCGAAGTGTCTTCGACGGAGACAACGTAAATCTCTGACGCCCGAAGCGGTGGGCCCATGGCGAGGCGCGGCCGGCTCGGCGACGCCGCCGGTGCTTCCAGACCGGTCCACGGCGGGGCGCGGCCGGCCGGGCAAGGCAAGGAGCGGGGTGAGGCGGGTCCGCGGCCAGGCGGGACCGCGGCGGGGAGCCGCCGGCACGGAGAGGAGCGGCGGCGGCGAGGAGCAGCCGGCGTAGCGAGGCGGGTCTGCGGAGGAGCGAGGTCGGCGCGACCACGCCGAGGAGCCGTCGACGCTCCGAGCAGGCGGCCGCGCGGGCCAGATCCAGCTCCCAGTGCTCCGGTCGCCGTCGGGGCCGCGTGTGCCGTCGTCGGGACCGCGCGGGGTAGTCCTCGGGGACGCTGCCATGCGCCTGTGCCAGGGAAGGCCACCGTGGGGAGGTCGCGCTGGGGCGGAGGAGGTCCGGTGGGGTGGGGAGGAGGAGGCGCGAGGCTGGCTTGGGAGGAGGCACGCAGAGCAGAGGTCGACGCGGGGAGGAAAGGCCGCCGCGCTGGGGGCAGGGCATAGCCGCCACGCGCGCGCCGGTGCTTGCCGCTGGCGAGGGGCTCCACCGGCGAGGGAGGCCGGCAGGGAGGGGCGTGGGCAGGGAGGAGTGCCGAGGAGAGCGGCTGCGCATCGGGAGAACCGTTGGGCGCTGTCGTGAGGCTCGCCACGCCGGGGGAAGCCAGATCCGGGGTCGGGCGCCGCCGGGGAGGGCCGTCGGGGAGGGATGGGACACTGGGGAGGGCTGTCGGAGAGGGAGCAGGTGAGGATTTTTGCGTGGTCCGTTGGAGAAGACACGGTGTGGGTGCGGGACTCTTTTACTGTACGTGACCTAAATCATGAAATGGGTCACTGGTATGGGTCTGGTCCGTTGGAGATAGCCTTAGAAGGGGGAGTTTGCTTTGAGCCCATGTCAAAGCCAGCCCACCAAATGCAATGGTGCCCAGTTACCCTTGGATGTCAGAAAGGTGCGCGCAGCCGTCAGCGTAGAAGAACCAGCTGTTTGTTGAGGTGTTGTTCTTGGCAACGTGTAAGTTTGGAAACTGCCAATTAGGACCACTAGATGTTGATTCAATGAATGGGGTGAGAAGTTTGCACATATTAGTTGGTTTGCACGTAATATGTCGCCGTTGTTCTTTTGGTGCAGTCCTGAGCCACAGAGACGAACAACCTGTTCGTTTGGTTTGTGCTTGTCGTATACGATCGTAAATTTTCAGTCGGAACCGTATTTTTTTCTCACACAAACCAGCCAGCAGTACTTCTTCACGAACCAGCAACGATACGAACCAGCCAACCGAACAGGCTGAGAGGGTGAGCCAGGCTGACCTGTTGGCAGAGGCGGCCCCGTTTAGAGTGGGGGTTGCTCTGCACGCATCAGAGTTCAGAACAGGGGCTGGCATTTGGCCCGGGAGGCCGGCAATCACCGCCGGCGCGAATAAGAAGGGGATGGGTCGGGGTTCGCCCCGGCCAAAACCCGATCTCGCCGAGCTAGGCTTCCACGGAATCAGGCAGCTGCCTGCTCCGTGAAGCATGGACTCGCAAACTATCCCCTCCTACATCTAGATTATATTTCTACCAGCTCTTCTTTTAGTTCCTCTGGATTATTTTTCTACCAGTTCTTTTGTAGTTTCCTTCTAATTCTTTTTTAGTTTTCCTGAGAAGTTATTTCTTTTTTAGTTTGCCTGAGAAGTTATCTTGCCATTCATATACTTCCATTTTTTCATATCCGTCATAACCCCATTAGGCGTTCAAAGTCTATTCTGAAAAGTTCAAGCGTGCTCTTCACAAAGCGGTTTCTAAGTTTTTTTTACCCCTCTTTAGTGCGTGTGAATTAAATCAAAGGATGAGTCCCAAAAACGTTGTTGTCCTTACCGGACAAAAATTGCTAGGAGGAGAAAAAACACAAAAAATGCTAGGAGGAGAAAAGCACATAACAATTTCAAGATTTGGTTCCAAAGCATCGGTGGCGACACGGGTATGCCCCTGTATTCTATGGAATACCCATGATTTTTATGACAAACACAAATATAAGTATACATGTATAATGATATAGTATGTTAGCTTTGTTGAATGTTGCAAACATGTAGACCATAAGCCAAATAGAACAACTAGTAGCAGTAGCCCACGAACTCTAAAAAGACAGAAACCCATCGACCGTATTCCAGTCCCTGTCTCCTGTTCCTGCCCGTCGCTCACATGATCCAAAGGGCGGCAGCTGAATAGGCGGGCGGTGGCACAGCAGGTCGGCTCTCCCCCCTCGGCCCTTCAGCCCTCGCCCATCGGCCCTCTGGCAGTCGGGCCTCGACAACCAACGCGGCAGCGCCTTGCTCCCGGCACTCCTCTGGCGGCGGTGGCGGCGGTCAGTGGTCTTCGGCTCCGGCGTCCGGGTGTCTGGCCCTCCCCCTCTCTCATCTCCGGCTTGAAGCAACAGCACGGCGAACGCAAAAGACCCCAGATCTATTCTTGATTCTTCAGAGTAAGAATTGAAGGTTTTATTTTCTATTTTTTGTTGCATTGTGTTCTTTTTTTTTGAAAGAAATGTTGCATTGTGTTTCTTGTAATGTAGATAAAGAACTTATACTTTGATTATTACCAGGGGTGACACCAGGTTCACTTTGCTTGGTGCCTTGTTACTAGGGTAAAAAAATATTTTACCTAGCAAATATTTTAAGAAAATTATATATACTACTTGAGCTGTACACCGGGACCAATTTTGTACTGATTTTGCCCCTTATTACTATTGCATATATGTATTGTAATTTTTTTTACTTGGAATACCAAGCCCAGCCTTGAAATCATGGCTCCGCCACTGTTCCAAAGAACAAATATAGGCATTGGACCTGAACTCATTAAAGACTGAAGAAGGTAGTCCCTTAGCGAAGATATCAGCATACTATGAGGAGGTGGGGACATGAAGCACCCGAACCGCCCCAGCCGCTATGCGTTCGCGGGCAAAGTGAAAATCAATCTCGACGTGTTTGGTACGCTAATGCTGCATCAGATTGGTCGAGAGATACACTACATTGACATTGTCCCAATAGACAATAGTGGCACGCTAGAGAGGAATTTGCAACTCCTGAAGTAGCTGACGTAGCCGAGTCAGTCTTGGCAACAGCATTTGCAATTGCACGGTATTTCGCCTAAAAAAACAGCGTCCAGAGGTGGAGCGACGAGTATCGGAACAATCAGCCCAATCCACATCAAATTGCTGTCCGAGGGTTACTGGAACTTTCATTGTTGCTTTGAGGATACAAACAGGGAAGAAGGCAACAAAGCGCTGTCTGAGGGTTTCTGGCGAGAACCCCAGACTTGCCAATGCGGTTTGAGCTGAATGTGCCTTTGAACATGTACGACAGATCCACGTTCTACACTCCTGTCGTACATTCAGCGCTTTGCCGTGGATAAAAGGGCACACACCGAATACCCTTTTATCAGTCCTCCTGTGTGATTTCTGGAGGAAAGAAAAATTGGATTCGGTGCTATATAAAACTTGCTCTTGACTCAAGATGCAGCAGTGCGTGCCCATTTGCAGTGGCAATGCCACCGTACCGCACCGCGGATATCAAAATCTTACCCGTCGGGTTACCCAGTACCCAGATGGTAGAAAATTCATTCCATACCCGCACCTGACGGGTAATTTTTACCGACGGGTAATTCTTACCCGACAATATACCCGAGTTCACAGCTTCCTCAAATCAACAATAGAGCAAAGAAAAATTTGGTGGAGTGGAATGAGGATGAGGATTAGGGTTTGAGGGAGTTCTTGAATATATATACTCATATGCTTATATGGGTCAAATATCTATATGCTTATATGCGAGAGGGTTGGATATTATTTATGCGGGCTTTTTACCCATGGGTATGCGGGTATGGGTAGTATACACCCACACCCGTACCCGCATACCCGATGGGTACAAGAATTCGTCCAATAACGTACCCGCGGGTGCAAAATGTCTTCCATACCCGCCTCCTTATCGGGTAAAACCCGTCGGGTACTCGGGTTTCGGGTACCCGTTGCCATCTTGACTCTTGACGTGGAATTTCAGTGAAATGAAACTGTTGAACTGGCAGGACAGCTTACACTCCTCAGGTGCCGCTACTAAACTTTGGTAAAACATTAGTGGTTCTTCTTTTGTTGAGATTTTGAAAGCACTTTGTGATGGATTTCATTGTTCACTGAACATATATAGAGTTCTGTTCTGAACTTTGGCTGCCACTGACATCGCATTGTGTTCTCTGACTACGCGCAGTGTTTCACCATCTCTTGCATCTCAACTAGGGGTATTCTGCTACACGTTTGGCGCATATAGAGTTTGTTCTGAATTTTGCAAACCTTGTAAGCCTGGAGCAATAATAATAACTACGCTGTTAAAGTCTCTAATTGCAACAAGTCGACCAGATGCGCACACATTTCCTTTGGGGGGTGTCTTTACAGTCTCCTCCCTGTCAGTTTCAGGCTTTTCATGCCTCTCTACCACTGCTATTATACACATGGATCAAGAAAAGCCCGACTCGTTCGTAGCAGCCCCGAGCGCTGCGCATTCGTGTGTTCACCTTCCACCAATGATCTCGCCTCTGTTCCATTCCATGGAGAGGCAACGAATGCTCTGGTCTGGCTGGGACCATGGAATTCGCCATGGCTGCCAACTTGATGCCATTTTTTTTCTCATTGTTCAGTAATAGTGCCTGTTGGTCTTCTCCTTCTCGACTCGCGCCTTGCGCACGGCCTGCTGGATCTGCTTCTCGTGCTCCTTGAGCATGTCCTCCATGTTCCCGCCGCGCGGCATCAGCGGCCCCGAGTAATGGATCCTCTTGTTCCTCCCTCCGAAACCCTGGGGAAACAAAATGTTTGCAAATGCGATTAGCACTGCCTGAGCTGTAGCGTCAGCTGTTATTAAGACTGTCAAGATCGAATGGCTCTGGTTGGCACTCACAACTGATGCGTCCCGCATGCCGAGGTCCTTCTGGTGGGAGGAGCCGGGGCGGCCGACGGCGTTGGCCGGCTCCGCGACGTCCAGCCGGTTGTACCTGGAGTTGGCGTTGGTGGCAGCCGACGAGCTCGGGTGCAGGTCGGTGCCCCGGGACTGCGCGTAGGACCGCTGCGAGGTGAGGTGCGACGCCGACGCCCTGACGGAGCTGGACGCGCGCGAGACTGCCCGCTGGTCGGTCCGGTTGTACCACGTCGACCCGAAGCCGCCGCCGGTCTGCAGCGTCGCCGGCCCGCGCACGGCCACGGCCGGTGGCTCGATGCGGAAGCCCGGCACGCTGTCTTCCAGGGAGCTGTAGTGGTGGCTGGTGCTCTTCTGGTTGGCGCGCGCCTGCCTCCTCTGCAACGAGACACGAGAGGGAAGCGATTGCAGAGTTCAGACAAGAACAGTTTGAGCTGCAATCAGTCACTGATGAGGAGCATGGCATGGGCGACCAATCACGTACCTGGTAGTCGGCAATGGCGACGTCCTGAGCTGGCGCGGCGCCCTTGGCTTCGTCTCTCCCCGGTTTGACGGATACAGAGCCCTTGCCTCCGATGCCCGCTGCGTTTTGCCTACAAAAGATGCGCATGCAATGCAACAGGGTGCTGGGTGTAAGAACAATGGAATCACTGGAATGGAAGCAGATATCGGTAGCCATTGCCATCAGCTTGCAGGTGCTCTAAGGTTCGCGTACCTGCTGGCCTCCTGGCCTCGGAGCTTGGCGTCGTACTCCTTGCAGGGCGGGTACTTGGGCAGGCTCGCCGGATCACAGGCCAGCGGCTTGGTCTTGAAGAACTGACGATGACAGAGATGCAATACAATGCAGCAATGTTTCAGTGCTGACAGTTTCCATGGCGTGTTTGTTGTTCTAATGAAAAACTGACGAGAGTTGCTTAATTACCTCGCTGTCCAGAGCAGAGGCCACCGTACCCCGTGCCGACGGCTCGATGGCGAGCAGCGTGTCCAGGAGCGCCAGGGCCGTGGGGGGAAAGTCCTTGAACGTCTCGGCGATCTTGCGCCGGTACGGCCGCTGCGGCTTGAAGAGCGTCACGTCCGGTAGCTTCGCCTTGGCCCAGTAGTCCTCGGACGGAGAGCCGCAGAGCTTGAAGATCTTGTGCAGCTGCTCGATCTGTGCATGTGGACGACATGTTTTTTGTTCATTCATCATTCAGATGGTAACATGCGTTTCGGTCGGTCAGGTTAAGGCAGGCTGACAACGAACGAAACCAAAAGAAGGGCACGACGGACGAACCTCGGTCTGGCCGGGCATGATGGGCTTGCCGGCCAGCAGCTCGGCGAGGATGCAGCCGGTGCTCCACAGGTCCACGGCGACGCCGTACTCGTTGGCGCCGAGCAGGAGCTCCGGCGGGCGGTACCAGAGCGTGACGACGCGGCTGGTCATGGGCTGCGTCTTGCCGGGGTCGAAGAAGGTGGCGAGCCCGAAGTCGGCGATCCGGAGCACGCCGTTGTCGCCGATGAGGAGGTTGGAGCCCTTGATGTCCCGGTGCAGGACGCCGCGCGCGTGGCAGTGGCGCAGGCCCTCGAGGATCTGGTGCATGAAGCACTTGACCTGCGGCTCCGTGAAGCGCTGCCCCGACAGCGCGGCGAGGCCGGCGAGGTCGTGCTCCATGTACTCGAAGACGAGGTAGAGGCTGTGCGAGAGGCGCGAGGTGACGATGCCCTCCAGCTTGATCACGTTGGGGTGGTCTAGCCGCCGGAGGATGTGGATCTCCCGCGCCATGAACCGCACGCTCTCCGGGTCCATGTTGACGAAACGCACCCGCTTCAGCGCCACGATCTTGCCGCTCTGCAGGTCCCGCGCCTTGTACACGTTGCTGTACGTGCCCTGCCCGATCTTGTCCAGCCGCTCGAACGTGTCGGCACGCCGGGGCAGCCACCCCTCGACGATCTCTCCGGCGACGGACGTCAGCCACGAGGGCCATCCGGCGATGACGTGCTCGCCGGAGAATCCCTGCGGCACGCTGGAGATCACCTGCGCCTGCGCCTGCGCGCCGCCGCAGTCCGCGGCCGCGTTGTTGTTGTTGTTCCCACCGATGTCCAGCGTGGCGCACCGGTGGTGCGTGGGCGCCCCCGCGGTGCTGTAGGACTTGCTGAGCGACGTGATGACCACCACGGGAGGCGCGGTCTTCTCCACGACCTCTTTCGCCGGCGCGGGCGCGCCGATGCCGTTGGCCTTGGCGTTGGACTCCGTCCGGGAGATGACGGCGTTCACGACGGCGGCGGCGTCCTCCTTGGCGGTGAGCGTGATGAGCTGCTTCAGGGACTGGCTCGACGCCTTCTGCAGCTGCACCACGGGGTGGGGCGCGGCGGGTGGCGCCTCCACGACGCCCTCCTTGGAGCAGAGGCCGCCCATCGCCGACGGACGGCAGCCACCGCAGGCGTTCCCGCCAAATCGAACGCGCGAGGAACGGACGCGCTAAGTTAGAACCGCCGCAGGAGGATCAGGATGCAGGGGAGGAAGGTCAGCTAGGAGGCCAATGCGTCGTTGGTCCTGGAGCGAGGAGGGAGGAGGTGGCGGTGGAGGCATGGCGGTTGCGGCGACACGCGGTTGCAACCGCCTGAACAGAACGGGCACGCGCGTATCCGGCGCCGGGGCCGGACAGCTGCGCGCGCGCGGGAGCGACGGAGAGCAAAAGGGGGCGGGAGACAAAAGGGAGGCCCGGGGACGACGAGCCGTTACGAATAAACGACAGCGGCCGTTGGCGCGATTCGCGGCGGGCCCGTGGGGCCACGGCGTCAGTGAGCTGGAGGTGGAGTGGTGGAGCTGAGGTGGCCAGGTCGGGTAGTGGCGCGCACGACAGACAGGTGGGGGACGTGCGCCCCAATTAGGCCAGGCCGCCAGCCCCAGGGGATGGATATCTCTGGACATCCCGAGCCCTAGCCACGCGAAGCCTCCCATGATTTGCCCTGATGTGGCGTAGCGCTGGCGGTGGTTGGGTTTTGGTGACCACCATTTGGAAGAAATCAATCTATCTAAGCAACAAAAACACTTTTTTTTATATTAACTCATGTATTTTGGTCAGAGCTGGGTAAAAAATACGGACTTGCCAGCCTCAGCACATCCAATCCAGCGCTAGCGTCGGACGGTGCCGCGCGTGGAAAAGAAATGGAGCCCGCGTGTCCTGTTTTTTCACGCGCCCCACCACGTGGACCCCCACGCTTGCGCTCGGCTCCTCATGCGCCCCAACTACGAGCCCATGTCGCCCGGACGTCAGTAGATGGCTGCGATAGGTGGGCCCTATTGCAACATGTGTAACACCTGATTTGCTTTTGCAACAACAAGATGAAACACTTGCAACGTACTTCCGAAGCAGCTGAAACACTGTCAATATACGTCTGAAACACTTGCAAAACACCAGAAAAACTTAAAAACACGTGTGTAGTCATTGCAAACATATACAACATCAAGATGAAAACACTTGCAACATACGTATGAAACACTTAAAACACTTTAAACACACATTTGCAACATGCGTATGATACAGATGAAACATACACTCGAAACATGCGTGTATAGCAATTGCAACATGTGCAACATCCCGATTTAATTTTGCAATATCCCGATCTACTTTTGCAACATCGAAATAAAATGCTCGCAACATACCTCCAAAACACATGAAACATACGTTTGCGACATGCGCTTTCAACGCAACATTTGCTTGCCGCCTCGGCAAATGTAGGCTCGTCGGCACGTGGAGATCACTGGTGTGCTCGTCGGCGCGTGGAGCTGGGCGGCGGTGCACAAAGGGCGAGTGTGGGGGCAGCACGGGTGGCGGTGGCGCAGAGGGCAGATGACGGCGTGTGGAGGTCACCGATGTGCTCGCTGGTGGCGTAGAGAGTGGCGGGCACGACAGTGGTGGCGCAGAGGGTGGGCGCGAGCGGAGCTCGCCGGACAGCCGCACGGCACGGTGAAGCCGCGATGGCGCGACCTGGAGTCGAGAGACAACTATGTTTTTGGAAGACTGTGTCCGGATGGACGGATGCCCACAGCACAACATTTCCGTAAAAAATAGGTATTTTGTGTGAGTTTTCAGGGGACCTTTGACGGGACCCTTCCTAGCGCAGCTTTCTTTATATCAGTTCAAAAAAAAAATACATTGCGGATCTATAGACAATAGGGGATGTAACCGCATCTAGAAAACCCAAAAAACAGTGATTATAATTAATTTTCATCATATATGTATCCAATAAAAACCTATGTACTCACAAAGCAAACACAACCCTCTCAAATTTGCTAATTGAGCAATCGCTTGATCAGAGATTTTGAGTCAAGGCCGAAGACCTGCACCGACCAAAGGATTTGGCCGGCCTATGGTTTAATTTAATTTGTGTAATGACCATTCTGCCCAATATATTTAGGAATATTTGTAAAACCTATTCAGAGCAAGAGGCAAAATAGTCAATGTAAAAATGAATAATACAGATTTAATTCTAAAATCTCTCCGCCTCAACCTTCGTTTGCATCCGGTTGTTTTTGGGCATTCGACTTCAGCTTCATTTTTTTTAAATGTCTTGTACTATTCCTTTTTTTAATGCTGTCTCGTGCTATTGTGAGGAATACATCAAATGGTGGTGTCTTCGGGTTGGATATGGATAAATATTGCTGACATCATTTTTTGTATTCTTCTTTAAAATCGAAGCCGGATTAGATAGTGTCATATACAAACAAAGCCGGATATAGATAGTGTCACATATGTTGGCCCACAGTTAACCTCCCGACCACCGACCACAGCGTCCAGACCACTACAGATAGTCTCTAAACCATCGACCAAAGCCTCTAGACCACTACCTAATAGCCTCCAGACCACCGAGATAGCCTTCAGACCACTCTCTGTTGGTCTCACAGAATCACCAGCTCACGACAGTGAACCACTCCAGCCGATCTTGCCGAACACCGGCTCAGGCGAGTGGAGCACTTGTCGGTCTCGCCGAGCACGTGCTAGTGTTGCCGAGCACCCACTAGCCGTGCAGACCACGTACCGGCGTTGTCCGTACCCACACACTACGGATCGAGCTAGAAGAGGAAGGGAAAATAGAGCAAGCACGCACAATACAAGGCAACAGCGTTGGCCGAAGCCCTGTCTGTGTGATGGCAAATCTGAGCTCTCTTTACTGAGTTGCCATACATGTCTATTTATACAACTCTAACTATCTAGTCCATGTGCAGCGCCCATGCTGGCACAGTAACTAGATAACCTGACAGGGCTGACTCTGCGCCGGCCACTGCCTGTTCCTACAGTGCTGCAGGTGAGCCGTGCGGCGCCTGCACCTACAGCGGCTACTGTATCACAGCAGGGGGCAAAGTCGGCGCCGCCTTCCCTTGCTATGTTCACACACAGCAGGCAGCTAAGTCGGCGCCGCCTTCCTCTGCTGTGTTCTCAAAAGGTGGCAGTAGATTAGCTAACAATCTTCCCCTAATCCTACTGCTAACCCTTGTAACCCCTCCATGTCGATCATCTCCTTCAGCTCCGTGAGTCGAAGTCTTCCGAGCGGCTTGGTGAGGACGTCCGCGAGTTGCTGACCAGTTTCGACAAACTCGATGACGATCTGCCCTCCATCAACACAGTCCCTGAGGAAGTGGAACTTCACGTCGATGTGTTTACTCCGGTCGTGCAGAACCGGATTCTTCGCGAGGGCGATGGCGGGCTGGTTGTCCACCATCAGTGCTGGTGGGTGAGCTTCCACGCCGGTTAGCTCACTCAGCAGTCGGCGTAGCCACACAACTTGGCACGCCGCTGTGGCCGCTGCTACGTACTCTGCCTCGCACGTAGATAGCGCTACCACCTTTTGTTTCAGCGACAACCATGAAATTGAGGCCGATCCGAGGAAGACGAGTACGCCAGAGGTGCTCCGTCGTCCGTCGATGTCCCCCGCCATGTCTGCATCGCTGAACACCGTGAGCTACAGCCTACTTCTCCTGGTCTTTGGGAAGGTGATTCCATGATTCACCGTCCCCTTGACGTAGCATAGTAGCCGCTTCACCGCAGCCCAGTGATCCTCTCTGGGATCCTCCATGAAGCGACTGACGTAGCCCACGGCGAACGTAATGTCCGGCCTTGTGTGGACTAGGTAGCGCAGACCGCCGACGATGCTCCGGTAGAGTGTTGCATCTACTTTCGCCGCGGTGCTGTCCTTCGTCAGCTTCAGCCGCTCCTCCATCGGAGTCACGCATGGCTTGCACTCCACCATGCCACTCCTCTCCAACAGCTTGGAGGCATACGCGCTTTGCCCGAGCGTGAGTTCCTCCTTCCCCTGTCTCACCTCGATGCCGAGGTAGTAGGAGAGAGTGCCGAGATCGCTCATTCGAAAACGAGCTGCCATCTCTCGCTTGAAGCTGTTGATATCCTCCGTGCGCGCGCCGGTGACGATTAAGTCATCCACATACACACCGACCACGAGTTCTTCCTTCCCCCGTCGTCGCGTGTAGAGCACGTGCTCGGTTGCGCACCTCTGAAACCCAAGCTCGCCCAGCGTGGTGTCAAGCTTGGCGTTCCATGCTCGAGGGGCTTGCCTCAGCCCGTAGAGCGCTTTGCGCAGTCGGAGCACCCTGTGCTCCTCTCCCTTGACAGCGAACCCTGGAGGTTGCCTGACGAAGACCATTTCCGCCAGCTCGCCGTTGAGGAAGGCCGATTTAACGTCCATGTGATGGACGCGTCAGTCCTTTGCTGCCGCCAAAGCAAGTAGCAAACGGACCGACTCCATGCGCGCTACTGGTGCAAAGACCTCCTTGAAGTCGATGCCCTCGCGCTGGACAAAGCCTTGGGCGACGAGGCGCGCCTTGTACTTGACAATGGCGCCGAGCTCGTCCCTTTTGACTTTGTACACCCACTTCAGGCTGATCGGACGGCATCCTGGGGTGGATCGATGAGCTGCCAAGTCTCGTTTTCTTGATCGCCTTCATCTCCTCTAGCATTGCCCGTCGCCAGTTTCCATCGTGCTCGGCTAGCGCGAATGTGGGTGGTTCCTCTGCACTGACGAGTAGCAGCTCTGCATCGTTGAGCAGCCTACCCGCCATACCTGAGGGACCTGTGCCGCCGATGATGTCATCCAGCCTGCGGAACCTCAACTCCTCACCTTCGTGGTAGGCGTCCACAAACTCAGTGATGTCACTTGGAGGTGAGGTAAACTCGATCGGGGGTGATGGAGTTCCTTCTTCCGCCGGAGTGCCCTGCATAGCACCTGAAGTGCTCGGCACTGCTTCTAGACTGCTCGTCATAACTCCTGCAGTGTTCGGCCACACTGTAGGAGTGCCCAGCCTCAGTCTTGGAGTGGTCGGAACCACAGTAAGATGTCTTGGCTTCGCCACGGGAGTGCTTGGTACCCATCCTGAAGTGGTCGCCGCCACTGTAGAAC